AGAAAAAAATACACAGTTAATACAGCATAAGATACTGGTGAGTCAGAATTCTGTATCATCACAATATAATTACACTTTTTTAATTAAAAAAAGCATCAAGGACACATTACGATGTCATCAAACTGGTATTTAATGCTACGCTAAGAATGACTAAGACTTAGTCGTGGCAATAGGGCATAAGAAAACTCAGGAGTTTGAGAAGTTCAATAGCTTACCATGTAACAGAACGCATTACAACAACCTATTACCAAAACATTAAGTTTGGCTTTTTTTTTAAAAGGGTTAAACTGTGGAGATAAAAATACATCAGAAGTTACTTGCAAAACAATACAGATCAGATAAGATGACAGATTTTGGTAACAAAACCCATCAGAGACAGGTAAAATTTGTTCAGACAAAAGAAAATAAAGATATTTGGTGGTGGCTTTTGGCTGCTTCCCAAGTTGGAAGCGGATACAAAAAGGTTAAGTGTCCACAGTCATTCCATCACAATGCCTTACTTTTTGTCCAGAATAAAGCCCAACCCTAGTATTGTACTTCAACCCCAAATATACAATAACCGCCTCACTGGGACTCAGAAGGATTACTTTTACAGACAATTAGCAGACAAAGTTGACAGTTACGCAGCCTGAAACAACACGAAGACCGCAGCATGATCCCTGTCAGCGTGACTGAAAGGAGATCCCCTTCTTCCTTGCCCAAACGCTATAGCAGGCTCCACGCTCCCCAGGCCCTCCCCGAAACACCACTTCGCGGCTAACTGAAGAGTTTCCAGAGTTCACGGGAAGCTAAACAACACCGAGTAACTAAGGAAAAGCTATGATTCACTAGATCGCTTCTGCTACTACCTTGTGCGAATATAGTTTCTGTGTACACACATACAACAAAACCACATCACAACTGCATATGAAATGAGCAAAGCAAGACAAGAGCCCCTGCACTATTACTAACCCTCTCCCCACTTATTCCAGTCACCACTTGCTGGAGAAGGAAAAGACGCACCTCAGCTACAGACACTTCAGCAGACAAGGCTACAAGGAAAGCAAGACGGTATTCCCAACTTAAAGGAATCAAAAAATAACGAAGAGATGGTGTTGGTTGTTACAAATACGGAAAACACGAGGCTTTAAATCAGCCTGCTACCTACAAACTTAAGTGACATATATTCAAGAGCTTCAGAGAATATACCTAACAACTCAAAATTACATACTCCTATAATATTCACTATCTGCCCATTTTGTTTGTTTTTTAAATGATAACTATTTTAACTGGGTCTTGGGAAAAAAGTGAATTAAGAGTACATAATCAAGGCAAGTATAGGTTGAGAAAACAACATTCATAAAGTCAGGATTTGCTTTCTTTATTGTTCCTCTTCTCAGACTACCAGGAAAGATTTTTCCTTTAAACTATGCATTTGACACTTAAAATGATACCTAAAACCTTAAATTCTACTATGTCTCTTCCTTAAGCATTAGAAATTTATTTATTTTTTCTACAAGTTCAGAAAACAAACCAGGCAGAGTAAGAAAATATAAACATGATATTAAGTATGCATACCCCAACTTAGCTGTTTCCCCCCTTCTAAATCATGATATTAGAACCTTGAATTAGCAAGGTAAACAATTTTGTTCTCCAAAATTCACGTGACAAAGGACTTCTCTTCCAATTTTTATTATTTCTCCATTTATTATCAACCCTACCCAGAGAACAAACTGACAGTAACTGTTTAGGCACGTCACTTCCCCCACCCCTTCTCGTAAACGTCGAAAGGCTTTTCTCCCATCTCTTCCCCTCCATTTCAACCAGTCCACCCTCCAACCACCTCCTGCGTACTCGTTCGAAAGCAACCAAACAAGTCCACAGAAGACAAACATACGGAGAGCAACGAAGAAAAAAAACAAAACCGAAAAAATCCAAGCCACCAAGCCGTAGCTCAGGAAGTCCCTAAGCGGGACTTAGAACTACGGGGTTAGAAGCCTGCGGGAGGAACCAGGGCTATTCTGTTGAAGCTTTCGTCTCCAAACATCTGCTCCTCTCAGAGGTACTGCTGGGCTGGGTGGACACTCAGTGACAATCTACAGCTGCTCTCATCCCAGTTTATCAAATTCAGGCAATGCTGATTCATAATACTGAGCGCTTGCCTCCTGATCACGCCCCTCTTTTTCACTGGCCGTCTCTACTTCCTCTCCTAATCCTTACTTGAAAAAGAATTCACATTATCTATTTCAAAATAAGCCTTAAATCTTCGTAAGCGTAAATATAGAGCTGTACAATCATGATCAAAGCAGAAACCGAACACTGAAAGAAGGGAAGAGAAATAAACAGGCACATTTATGCAAAACACTTTTTAATACTATCTACCAGGAAGACAAACAAGGTCCAGTTACCTTCTCCTTTAGGCACGTGAAGTAAAGCGAATTAAAAAAAACAGGAAAAGAGTTTTGAGGTTTTTGACAAATACCTTTGGAGATACGTTAAACGTACTGAATATTGTCAGCTCTTCTCCGTACAAATCTGTCTCCTTTCTACATCATTTGTACGGGACCTTTAAAAGAAAAAATTGCCCCAGGCCGATGCGAAACACTGTTTTGATACAGCCAGTGTTAATGCCAGCTCATGCTGGAAACGCAAAACGGCATGCCGACTTCACGTTTGCTATAGAATTGCTCTGATTAGCAATGCTGAAAATTAGCACGAACTATATGGAACGACAGAAAAACGACACTAGGAATTAAAGCCGGCACACATAACAGCCAGAACAGAATTAATACCGACTTTTTACCCTTATTATATAATCACGTTCCCGCAGACGCAGCGGGAGGTGCCAGTAAATGAGACCTCCGAAGCAGCATTTGAAAATTATCCCTCCCTGAGGAACGAGAGATCCATAGGGTCCCGGTTTAACGTTACTTCTATGAAGCCGAGGGAAGAAACCG